ACAGCATGTAATTAGGCACATACTTTATTTGTATAATTTATCAATAGTAGGTAGTTATAGGCATGCGCTCCAGGATTTTGCAAAATATTCAAAAACATGCGAATGTTGCAAAAATGAATGTTTTTTGCAACTTTTCTCATGCATGACTCCATTTTGTGAAATCCTGGTGTGTATGCTATATACACAGTAAAAAAAATAGAGTGAAATTTAACACTATACCTGTTCCCAGGAGGACCACTAAGCTCTAGAGTAAATGACTTAACTCTATAGTTTATTATATTATAGTGTGATTTTTTCAATTCAATTAGTGTAAATGTTCAATGGAAGCACATTGAAACTTACTCTATTTATTTCTCTAAATATATTGAATGATCACAAAAATAGAGTTGAAAGACCCCAAGCTAGTGTCAATATCATCACTTCAGAGTGAAATTCAATAACTGAATATTACATAGTCACAAAGGTTGAGAGTTGGGAATATAATAGTACAGAGTAGATTTCACACTATGAACAGTGTCGGATCCACCGGAGATTGATTGTATTAATTACACTACCTGTATGTCAAATGACTCCTGCATTCTTCAAATTGACACTACCATATGTTTAGGTGCTAATAAGGAGTTATCATTTATTCATCATTTTAGATTGATATAAAACACTAGTTGAGTAAACTAGTTACTACTTCCTATTGAGATTTCATCCAAGTTAGATTAACCATTATTTCACATGTCACAGTATTTATTGGACTCCGACAGACGTTCAGCGGCGAAATCTCGGCATAGTCTCTGTAGCGCCACCTGCATGCAGTGGCGCGAATTGACGGATGAGAAGTAGTGTGACTTCATAATATTTTAATAGTTTGATATTTGAAAAATGACTCGCGTCCCACTAGACTACTTAGTTAACCAATCTGTTTCATGAATCGTTCGAAATAATAATTCGAAACGAAAAAAAAGGAATATAACTGAGATAGGTATATACGGAAATACGTTAATAACTCAATATTGAGAAAAATCTCTCACTACGTGGGTAAAGTAAAAAAGCTACTTGAATCTAATATCATGATCATTATATCATTGACACTATATCAGTATTACTTATTCCACTATCCAGTAGACTGAACGATCTGAACCTGTATAGATTGATATTTCATCGTATATAGATTGAATTGAACAATGGTAGAGTGTCAATTTAATCGACACGAGTGGAACATTCAAGTGTCAGTTAACACTAGTATGAATTCAATCTCAATTGTTAGTGAATTGAGTTATCTGAATTGCAATTTTATTAAAATTTTAGGAATATAGAGTGAATTCGATACGACATTAGTGGAAATTCAATCTAGAATTATCTTCAATAGAGATAATCTGCGAGAAGTGTAGTTATAGAGTTGATTGCAGTATCAGAGTGAGTTTGCAAGAGTATTTTAAAACTAAAAACATACTCTGCGAATTTAACTCGAAGCGATTTTATACTGTGTAACCTATACCTACTATTGATTGATTAAACACATAAAGTATCTATCTAATGGCAAGCATAGTTTGGAATTACGGTAAACCTGTATTACATTTTTACTGAGTTTTCCGGAAATCTTTCAACTTTGATCAGACGACAAAATTGAACGGGACTACCGTGTTCTCAAATTGCATGCCTATATGTGGAGAATTGAGATTTTAGTAACAAAAACACTCTGGTAAACTCGGCATGCGCCTCTCGTTTGACCAACGTATGAAAATTTCGCGAAAACCTTCTGTGAGAATTCAATATAAGTTTTCCGTGATTCCAAATTGCATGCAATAAAAAAAATACATTATTCGTAAAATCAATCACTGAATTGGCATGCACACCAGGATTTGGCAAAATAAAGACATTATATTTTTGCAAGTTTCGTCATGCATGCCTCTATTTTGCAGAATCCTGGAGTGCATGCTAAATTACCTGCTATTAATTAATTATACAAATGAACTATCTTCCTGTTGGTGTGCAATGCACTTTGGAATCACGAAAAACCTGTATTACATTTCTACAGAGTTTTCCTGGAATTATCATACGTTGGTCAGACGAGAGGCGCTTGTAAATTTTTCCGCAGAGTGTTTTTATTACTAAATCGTAACCTCTTTGGATTTTTTTGACCGCTGCGGATTGCATGCCATCAATTATCAGCGCTTCAGTTTGTTTGAACTTCCGTATATCACAACGGCAGGCGCAGTATAATATCGCGGAAAAACACGAAAATCCTTCACAAAAAGAAATGCGCTTTTTCTTGAGAAGTGCACACGTGCGGCGGCCAGAAACTGGTTAATTTTTTTTATTTTGGGGTTAACTATAGAGCATGCAGTATGAAATGGAAGAACGTCACCTGTTACCTGGTCTATATGATCTTCGTCAACGATTCTGGATATTGAATGGGAGATCAGCAGTAACAAGTTCTTGGAGTAGCAGTCAATGGTGATGTAGAAACAGACAAGTGTAGGTAGATGTACCAGAAATGAGCCCTCTCTCAACTTTCCGAATAAAAATTGTTGTAAGCGCTTTCACCATCACAGAGATGGATTACTTCAGTTCTTTGTTGGTAACGGTTGGTCGTAAAATAATGCCGATGATGAAGCCCTATAACCCCCAACCACTTCGGACTGTGATATCTGTGCTGTGATCTACGAATTCTGCACAAACTTTGGGAACCTTCGAAGAATCAGACATAATTGGTAGGAAACATTGGTGGATATCCCTGTCATATACTACTTACATGAGATTCTGATATTCATTATAAAATGTTTCAGTGGAATTGTGAAACCACAGCATATCAATAAAAAACTGAATCGTCCTAGAAATTGCCATTAATAAAATAGACACCCGGACCAATGAATCGAAGAAGCATCCTATATAAGAATCATATGCCATGTCCTACTGGGAATATCAGATAGGTACTTTTAATATTCTTGTCGCATGAACTGGATCTTCTGGGTACATTGTAATTCCATGTTTGAATGATCTTCTGAAATATGGAAGGAACCCTTACGACAACAAACGAAGCGAATAAGCCTTCGTGGTCATTGATGTCTTTGCATTCTTATTTCTTATTCACTCACAGTTGGAATGTTGAGAGGATCAGATCGGCATGTCATGTTATGTCTGGATCGTTGGGTCGATATGGGTGTTCGATAGTGGGAGCTTGGTTGATATGGTCATCCTACACGTTTATGTTTCTCATTCAGATGGTCCCTAATGTTGCCGTAGGAAACTCAAACGATTCAGGTAGTATGTAGTGGCAATTGAAAGTTCAGTGGTTACCAACCTGTACTGTCAATATCAATAGATGAATGACTCACTGTCACGACTAAGCCGGGTATTCCAGGTGTATGGTATATGTTTGAATGAAATAATTAATTCATTGCAGAAAGTATCAAATTCAAATATTTCTCCTTCAACTAGCACATTTTTTGTTGTCGTCAATACATATCCTCCATAAAATTTCAATTCTTTTCATAATCACTTCACAATCAAGTTGAGGAAGAGAGTCTTAAAATTTCAAATTCAAATTATTGCAGTATATGCTGTGATGAAAGATTGTTCAACATTAATTTTTTTTTGTTATCGCCTCTGGTGGTGGCTGCTATCTATAATTGAATGCTGATTTCTGACTATTGAAGGTTTCACAAAATTTCGTATACTGCCATTTTCAGTTTGTTAAAGTTCAACCCATTCCCTCCCATCTTCAGTTTAAAATCTGTTAAAAACAGGGTTTCATTCGAAATTGATAAGCTTTTGGTTATAGTTTCAACCGTGAGTGACTTCCGATGTTGATTTTTCCCCTATAATATATCGACATACATACCTACTATAATTTCGGATACTGAGTGTCAGATTTTTTTTTCGTGAAGCAGATCATTTCTGGTGACGCTCGATTAAGGAAAATTCGTCAGTTCTGGCAGAGAGAACTGAGTGGTTCAGGTTCGAATAAGAGGCCAATCGATGAGGTCAACGCGACGAGGTAATTCTCATTGATGGTGACTTTTGTCGAAATACGTGTCCAAAAAGAATCGTTGCAACTGTTGACCCATCAGGTACCGATGGAAACATCCGGGAAGTAGATGTTGAAACAGCAACAGGGACATTCAAGAGGCCATTGGCAAAATAATGTTCTCTTGTTGTGGAACCAAATAAAGAGTAATGAACAGCAGTTCATCACTGGAAGGAAGTGTTCCTGCGGGAAGTTCATAGGTATTTTTGGAATAAACTTTGATTTATATAAATACTATCATTCGGTATAAGTTTAGTCAGATCGAGTAGAAACTCAAACATCTGTCTTATTTTGATGTATGTGCTGATACTGATCAAACGAGTGCTCAAACGAGAGCCAAATTCCGACACCTATAGTGCGAACGCATGAAATAATATATACTTAGATCTTTATTATCGACAAAAAGCTGAATTATAAACATTTGACTATATATAGGCTCCTAAAGATCCTGAGAAGTTCAATATAAATCATATACATCATTGTGCAATTCTGCAAAGAAACCGAACAGAAACAGAGCCATAATGAAAAACCAATTTACGTGATGTTATCAGCCCGGAGCAAAACAAGACATGCTCGCACAAATTAATGAACTCTGCAAACTGTAAGAATCTGTTTGCGCGGCTTTGTCCAAACACCAGCCGGAATAGAGCAAACAAATTACATATGCATCAATCTAGTGGGACTGGTACACAGCCTAAGGCCCCGGAACCGCTGGGATGGGAATCCGGGAGAATACCCGGATTGTCCCGGAATATCGACCGTGATGCTCTTATCTACACACCACTGGCGTGGCATCTCCGAAGGCGGGTCTATGCGCAGAAAGATGCTCCGTAACAAGTGAAAAACACACGACTTACGCTGTCTAGATGTATGTGCCTCCAGGTGGAAACAAACGAGAGAAACAAAAGAGGTCGACGTAGTCTTTTATTTCAGCGTCGGCTAACCGCGATCCAAATCAAAAATTACGGCACAGTCGCCCCGGTGAAGTGATAAAACATGACAGCGAATACAGCACTCCGATTGGTCTGAGCGTATATGAAAAAAGACGATCGGGATTCTCATTGTCTCCGTCCATACTGTCTTGTGACTTGACTCGTACGATGTGCTAGTTCATGATATGAAGACGGTCGGGAAATCAGTGACTTTTATTGACATTTTACCTGACTAGTTTTCCTACGATGAGATCAAAATCTGTTGCGCGTCGAGTCACAGCACAAGGTAGGATGTTTTTCTTTAATATCTCATCTATTTTTGCAAATTGTGAAGATGATGAACTGAAGTTACTGAAGTTACTGAATCCTATACCTACTTTATTTCGTTTTCTGATATGGGTATGGGTCCCAATATGAATTTATGAATATGAGATAGGAAAACAGGAATATCAGCATCTATAACTACCTATGATAACATATAATAATTAATGAAGTTTTGAGCAGATTTAATAGTTCCAATGATATATTACATCCAGAATTTGACTATATGAATGAATTAGAAAGGAAAATGAATAATCATTATGCTATATCACATTCCATATAGGTAACATACTGATGAAGTAATCTGATGTATAGGGTTTAGAATTCCATGCATAATATATAGATTAACTATAAGAGATGGAGGTACATGAGATAATCATGCTGCAGCCCTCTATATAGTACTAGGTACAATATTGTCATTTTCCTGGGCCTCATTTATCAATAAAAGTGGGGTATTATAGATATAGGTAGCAAGGTAGCCATCTAACACTAGCATAATCTAGTATGAATGCATATCATCCCAGATAACACCAACCATCGGCCCAGTATTTTTAACGCTCACCTTTCCTGGCGCAGATTATATTATCTAGGTATATACGGCCGCCTGCCTCCCCTAATACCCATTACCAACATAATATATTATTATGCGCTTGCAAAAACTTATCGAGCCCTTTCCAAGTATCTCAGCGCGAACTTTAAACTATGAATGCAAAAGTACATTTTTAATGTGATTTTGGGAGTACTGCTTATATAAGCACTCGTTTCAAGTGTCTTATGTTTCAATTATCGGCCGTCTTTTCTCAAGTAAATCTGGGATTAAATTTATTCATTTATACTCGAGTTCACTTATCGTATAGATTGGCTATAGGTATATTAGTACCAGTAGATTAGTTGCCATCGGAAGGTGTGTCCCAGCTGAAACTTGTCTCCCCCCCTGATCTGCGATGTCGTTAAAAAGATTGAAAATCGCTCGGACATCAGGTCAATATTTCAATTTGGCGGGGACAGTAAGTATTTCAAAGTTGGAATCTTGAAGTAAAACTCTCGATTTTCAAATAGAGCACCTTGTATTTGCTTTCACATTCTCCCTGAAGAGCTGCTTTCATCAATTCACATGCAATTGGTGCCTAGCGGGAATGATTATAAAGATATAGGGTGTTCAAAATCGAGATTTTTTAACTTCATGTTTTTTTTTGTGTCGAAAAGAAACGGCTTCCATGTCCCTTTCTTAACTATCGATTTGCTATCTATACTGATATTGAATTGGAACGAATACAGCGGGTGGTTCCCCTGTATTGGTTGTGACCAATAAGGAATAGATTCGACATAAAAAAATCCTGAAGTTGAAAAATCTCGATTTTGAACACCCTATACAGTGTGTCCCACTTACAATGCTCACCATGGGTATCTTTTTAACGGTGAGAGATACTAGGTAGGTTGAATGACACCAAATGTGGAGTTTGTCAAGGCCAACTATAATGTGAAGAAATATTTCGATAAAATCAATTCGTTTTTGTTTTATACGAGTTTTATACGCAAAAAACAGATTTTGATCATTTTCATGTCACTTATTTATTTATGAAAATATTCAAATGAGAATTTCATATTTTCATGGCAGTTTTTCAAAGTGATTTCGAAAAAAATTTGTACCAACTCTTCTAGAATTTGAGATATCAACACCAACTTTAGTTTTTCAAATGTAGGTAATAACTCACTATGACTTAGTTACAAATAACTTTTTTTTCTCTCACAGATGATATGCCGCAGTAATATAGTTTTGTGTTGATAACAACGGAGTTATCGTCATTTATACAAAAACAAAAAATTATTTGGAAGCCGTCATCTTGCATTCATAAATTTCAACAAGAAAATTATGATCTCCGACCTCAAAAACCCCCACTTACCAATTTTGAATGGAATCGGACCAAATCTTGTCCGCCATGTTGGAGCCGCCATTTTTTTCAATTTCAACAAAAATTCCATAACTCCGATAAACTCGAAATTTGGCAGGTGTTCATCATTTCGGTGACAATACATTATGGAATTCTTGTTGAAATTAAAAAAGATGGCTGCTCCAAGATGGCGGACAAGATTTGGTCCGATTTCATTCAAAATTGGTAAGTGGGGGTTTTTGAGGTCGGAGATCATGATTTTTTTGTTAAAATTCATAAATTCAAGATGGCGGCTTCCAAATATTTTTTTGTTTTTTTATAAATGACGATAACTCCGTTGTTATCAACACAAAACTATTTCTGCGACATAGCATCTGTAGGAGAAAAAAAAGTTATTTGTATCTAAGTCATAGTGAGCTATGACCTACATTTGAAAAACTAAAGTTGGTGTTGATATCCCGAATTCTAGAAGAGTTGGTATTAATTTCATATTTTTTTCGAAATCACTGCCATGAGAATGTGAAATTGCTATTCGGATATTTTCATAAAGAAAGAAGTTACGGAGGAGACATGAAAATGATAAAAATCAGTTTTTTTGCGTATAAAACAAAAACGAATAGATTTTATCGAAATATTTTTTCACATTATAGTTGGCCTTGACAAACTCCACATTTGGTGTCATTTAACCGACCTCGTATCTCTCACCGTTAAAAAGATACCCATGGTGAGCATGGTAAGTGGGACACACTGTATATCTCTGTAGTCATTTCCGCTAGACACCAAATATATGATGCATTGATGAGATCAGTTCTTTATCATTGAGAATCTAGAAATGCAATGAAATACAGGGACACACTGTATTTGAATCTTGTGTGTATTCACATCTGTGACATTTTGTAAAATATCAAAATGTCTCACATGAAGTTGTGAATGGTTCCAAATCTATAGTTTTGAATAGATAAGTGTATGGTCATCATACCAAAAAACGCCCGTGGAAAAGTTTCCGAAAGTGATCATGACGCTAAATAGTTATTTGGACATATCGCCGAGAATGATCAATATACGCTGAAACAGCTATTTGGACACATCACGGAAAATGCTCATAATTTCAGTCAAGAGAGCCGTTCGGACATTTCGCCGAAGGTAGTGACATTGTCGAAATAACAATAACAATGATTTTATACACTGATTATTATTCGTCACAGGTTCCTTCGATAATTTCCTATCACCTATCTAAAACCGAACCAGAGATATCTATAGTATAGGTTTGATGAGAATGTCCATCGATCTGTTCCGGCGTTTTGACCAAGAATTTGGCGAAAAGTCCATTCGGTGACTTGTCCATTCGACGAAGTTTCCGGATCAAATTGTTGAAGGATCATATAGCTTCACCAGTTTATATATATATATGAACAATTATTCATGAGACTCATGATTATCACCATTTCTACTTTCCATCATGCATAATTATATTTCCACTATATAAACAGAAAATGGTCAATTCTTACCATACATATCAACTTCTCACATTTTCTCACCCTGTCGCAATATTAGATTATCATTATGCCCATTTTCCACGTGAATTCTGACAATTATTCTCACCAAGCTCAACTTCCTCGAATTCTCCACGTTTTCACTTCTGAAATAGGTTCTTGAAACTGTGTGAGGACTGGGCATCTAAGTCAAAAGAATTGGGTATGATGAGAATTCATGAAATGTGGGTATGTTTGGAAAAAGGGCATATTGAGAAGTACCAATAGGCATCGTCAGTACTTATGGAGCATGGTGAGAATCCATTAATGGTTCTGTGGGCATGGTAAAGATCTAGGGTAGATGATAGGTGTATTATGAATGGATGGGGTATCTCGAAATTTCGGCAATGTAAGAATAGAGCAAGGTGAGAATCTTGTGGCTTATAGATTTTCCTCAGGTTACTTGGCAATGCTGCTATTTGACAAACTTCTTTATCATTGACATGCATAAAAAGGGAATCGAATATTTGAAACAAAAAACAGGGTTTCTAATTTTTGTATAAAAGCGCGGAATCAAATTTACTCAGTTATGTATCCACATGCATGTTTTCGACATAGGTCAGGAAATATAGATTTACTGAACAAAAATTCGACCATGCAGTTTGAAGTTCTTCCACAGCCTACCATTATATGAAACGAATATCCAATTTTTCTGTATTTTATCATCATACTGTATAGTGCGTATATACAGTGAAGGTATACAGCTCTTCTTGATCGTATATTAAAAATATACTAGCGTAATTCTGAAATTGTTGCAATACATTATATGTATACAGGGTGTTTCACAGGTAAAGAGAAATATATCAATGGTAGATAGGGGTCGATAAGGTGGTTCTGAAAATACCATATTTGATAGGTCATATAGAGTCTTCATAACGAAGATACAAAGCGATTTATTGATTTTGAATAATTATTCATTCGTCCATATATGTATTGACCTACCCAGTATATTTTTCTCAAATTTGGTAAGGAGCTTCTACTTGGGACGTTAAATTCATTCACTTATCGGGCGGAGTGAAAATCCAGGTTCGACTTCAGGAAAAAAATTCATTCATTCGAAGTATTGAAATAACACACTGTATCTAATGATTAACACAGTAAATCAAAAGAATTGTGAGGAGGAGGCAAAACTGAATTTGGTCTGATGCTTTTTGTTTTCCCGCCACCAATTCTCATCGAAACAATCAAAAAGTCGAAAGTATGATGTCAATTTGAAGAGTATTGAAATTATGAAACCAGTGTCAATTATGACTATTCGATATATTCCAGTCAAAAAATCGCTCGAAAGAACTTACTAAGTCTCACAGTCTTTATAACGGAGATACAGGGTGAATTACCGGATTTCAATAATTATTCACTCGTCCATAAGTATTAAACTACCTTTATTCTCAAATTTGGTATGTAGCTTACTTGGGACGATAGATTCATTAACCTATCAGGCGAAATGGAAATAATACCAAATAATTATAATTCGATAATTCACCCTGTATCTCTGTTATAAAGACTATCAAACTTCTCCCGAAGCTGAACCTGTATTTCCA